TTATATTGGGCCGATGTTCGGAGGCACGAGTAATCGTTCATTTTATCTGACTGAGATCTCGGATGAGGCTTCGCTTATCGTGCTTGTGCTGGCTGATCAATTAGGATTATTTTGCTAAAGATGGGAACGGATCTCCTGTTTACTTCTATCCTGATTTAGGGCGTGATCCCCCCTTACTAGCTAGTAAGATATCGGGGAGATGGGTTGTAGTTATGTCAAGATCAAGCCACAACAACGCGCTAAAGCACCACACGAAACGGCCCCGCTGGAATACACTCAAGCTATCTGCCGTCTGCAAAACTTCTGCCCGCATAAGATTTGAGTTCTCTAATCGGTGAAGCAAGTGTCTTTTCAATTTTAACACGATCGGAGGGTTGTGTCTCTTGGTCTACTGGTAGCTGCTTTGGGAGACAAAGTGTGGGGCATAGTGCCTCTCAGCTCCGGAGGTCCACTAGCAGCAAAGAAAGGCATATCTTTCGAGCAAATTCTGACAAAGCAATTGGCTGTGGAGGCTTCTGTGTAGCGCTGCTGCCATCTATCCTTGTGACTGTTCGCGAGGAGGTCGCAGTAAAATATAGCTGTATTGGCACCGTTTGTCCAAGAGTCAGTGCTGCATTATCCTGAATAAATTGGGAGATCATCTGACTGGTTTTGTCTTCAGCATTCTCGAATTTCTCTTTGAGGTACGCAGTTAAAGCTGATATATATATATATACGGTTGACTGCTTTTTAGGTAAATATAACAGAACAATGAATTTCTGATATGTGACAGATTTGTGGAAGTCAAACTGCTCAACATGGAATGAGGCCATTCCATAAATTGGGGAGACCCGAACTTGATTGCACCGCCATTTTGCTGGGGCAGTGGGTGGTTTAGTTGTAGCTGGACACTGCCGGGTCCTGTGGTGATAGTACTTGGCATGATGGCAATAAAATGTCTTATTTTCTTAGAAAGATGCATTTAGACTCTGTACTGGAGGCTGGTTGAGCTAGTCAGCTATTTGTACGGAGTTGTTTTTTAAAACTGGAGCCCATTAGCCGAGTGGAGTAAAACTTTTTGCGCCAAAATGTTGCATTCTTTTGCGTATGTGCTCAGACCCAAAACCATTCTGATCTACATTCAAGGTTTTGCAGCTCATCAAATTTCATCGTCCACTAAAACAATTGTACCTCTGGTGGAAAAGACTGGTGGAATAAAATCCCAGCATCGTTGAGACACCGCGATGCCTAAATGGGGCTTACAAATTCGGACTGGTACACTCAACTCAATTGCCTGATTACTTTAGTTCACCAGGGACACGTCATAACCTTCGAAAATTTCATTCCATTGTGTGAATACTGAGCGCCATTTTTGGTAATTCGTTTGGTTGTAGCGTGGGACGGTATTCGACGTTCGAGAGGATGTAGCGACAGTACACGTCAGTTCTGAAATGTGCAGATATACGGACTGGTATTAATGAGTTCATACGGTATACACAGCGCACATGCGCACACGTCGGGCGGGATAGAAGAGAACACCAAAGTGTGGTAACGACACACGCGTATTCAACCGAAACCGAAACCGGAAGTCGGGATTACAAAAAAGCTAGGTCAAGGTCAGTAGGGGGTGTACAAGCGGCTACTGTTTCTTGTCCGGGGCTCCTGGTGGTTCGATTATGGTACCTGAAATAGGGGGAGAGAGGGGGAAGAGACACATAAGCTCGATAGATAGACGTGCATGCAGATACAGTCGAGTTTTAACTGCGTTGCATGGATATAACTTGATTGTTGCGCCACATCTTCCGGGTTTAGTATTCTTAGTTCTTTTGAGATCCCGTCAGCGTTAAGCAGCGTTAATTCCAGTCTTGCGTCCATAACATCTGATTTAACGAACAAGATCTGTAGGTATAGAAAGCATCCACCACCGAGACTGTTATCGCTACTGAGGGGAAGGTTGTAAATTCGTCAGCTGGCACCAGTGCACAAATTTCCGCATAGGGAGATTTTCGCACTCAGTCCGCGTATTCCTGCACCCAGGTGCAGACCCACCATGGGGTTGAAATAAGTTGCTGATCTCAATCCTTACCTCAGAGTGAAAATGGTGCAGACGATTCCGCACCAGGGTCCAGCAATCTTCCGAACTCAGTACATGAATTTCTGCGCCCAGTCCGCACTTAGCGAAAATCGTTCAGTGCGCAGATTTAGTCCATCGTAGGCATTTATCGATCCCCTCAGTACAATTTTGCAAACTTCTTGAACAGTATGCTCCCGAGCCCTGATGAATCAACTGCCCGCAATGCCTTCCGTCAACATAATACCTGTCTGGTCCGAATTGGTCTACACTACAACTTTTGGTACAAAAGAGGTAGAAAAGTTTTACTGGAGATCTGGTAATCGGTCATTCTTAGTGACTCTCCGCAACCGTTTTCGAACCTCCTGCAGTTCGTTTTCAAGCCAGTGGTGGACATTTCCCACACCTGCAGAGAGCTTGAAGAGCTTGGAGTGACCGCTTCTGCATTCTACTCAACTAGATCTTACGTCGGTCCACGGGTATGCGGAATAATCGTAAGTTCTTTCGCCCTAGAGGGAAACAGTCTCCATGCAATTTAGCCAAACTCAAGTAGGAACCGTATTGCACAGCCGTATACCCTCTTACCACCAAATATTCAATTCCTGGATTAATTTACTTGCTTTAACGTTATACGTTCCACTAAAATATAGCGACCAGTTGGACTAGATTAAAGATTAAAGACGCTGAATCCACCCGTGGCACCGTCGGCAGTCTTTTGCCCACAGCATTAAAAAACATGGACGTCGAGGAACATATACCAAAAACGATCAGAACGATGGGATGCAGTGACCCTTTTCCCACCCCGAATTGGAGTGTACAAATCAATTTATTTGGGAGTGAAGTTGCAACAGTACAATGGAACTGAAGCCGGATGCTTGATTTTACCAAAATGTCAACCTGAAGGACCTTGCTTGTGGTTCCTACCCATCACCATATATAAATCAACCAGGTAATTGAATAGAACAAAATGTTATAAATGCCTCTTGTAAGAGTTGGATTGAGGCGGATCAGCATTACAGAATAATTTGACTTCAAACATTGCGACACCTATGTTAAGTTCTGTGGTCCGGCTGACCCGGCATTGCCGTCTTTAAACATCAGTTCCACTGAGAGAGTAATTTGGTATCTTCTCTCATTTGCCTCCAGACTACCTCGGACCTTAATTCCTTTGGCGCTGAATGGTATTAAGGGCTTTGGAAAGCCATGTCATTTTTCAACCGGGCGGCGTCCCTCCGAGGGAAATTTCTGGAAGTATTAGAGAGGGCAAGAATCCCTGGAACCGATCTCGGTGTCTGCTGAGGTGTTGTCTATTTAGAGGCATTTAACACCTTTATACCCACCAACTACCTAAATGTGTTTGTTATTGGTGACGTTTACCATACTGCGTGACCCCGGTGAAAATGTTGAGTTTTCAGTGAAAGCATGCACCGGCAGTGGGATAAGATACTGCAACATATGGTTGCAGCTTGTACCCGGTTGTGTTACGATCACGTTGCCTGTGTTTCAACGGTGCCCACCAGAGGGCTGAGATACTCATGGGATGCTCACGTTTTCTAGCTTTAGACGATAGGTTGAAACGTCCCATAAAGTTTTAGTTATCCCTGTTCAGCGTAACGCATCCATTTTACGCGCACACCTATTCTACAAATAGAATGCAAAGCATAAATGAGAATGTCTAGGTCAATGGGCAACCGCTAAGATCCAAAAGCCACCAAAACACAACAAGAACTGAAGCGGAAAGAAGTCTGGGCGTTTGTATGAAACCTTTTTTATTGGCCCGTTGGTCAACGGGACTTAACCTTGCAAACCCGTGTCATTTTGTGAACCCAATGATCCTTTTACACTGGGATTCTTCCCCCTCGCCACTTGCGCATGCTATCGAGGATGTCCCCATTAAGCCTTATGTTAGTCCTCCCTGTTTATTTTATCCATGTCCAACCATACCATAGGTTCGCTGGGTTATCACTTTAGCCCCTCATGAAATCTCCATGAAAACAGGAGTGACTTGCGCATGAACTTTGCTCCAAGGTGTGAGGCTGTTCAACAAAAATGACACGGGTGAGTCACAAACGGTAAACAGAATCCTGTTTTGAGGCTTTTATGGCCCTTGAACTAAAGAAGCAGTCGTGGGACTGCCACCAAAAGCCTTTCCCATCATAGACAGATGGAAATTGTACACTAGTGGTATGGTGATTCTAGCCAGGACATCTTTTCTCAACGCAGACCAATTTCGCACTGGTTTTTGGACAGATAATATGTTAAGTGACATGGCCGAGGCTTCCAGACTCTGTTTCACTTTCATTATTTGGAGTGAGGGCAGTGGTCATTTGTGCATCGCTCATATCCGTTCCGGCCGGCCTCTCCCTGTCCGTTTAATATATCGATCACGCCGTCGGGCTTGGAGGCGAAGCAACTCAGAGGCTGAAAATGAACCGTGCACTTGACCAGATGATCTACTGAAACCTCACTGACCAAAATCACTTTAGCAGTTGGCAAGATTGTGGGTAAAAGTCAGGTAAAACTGTCGCTGTCCGTTTAATATATCGATCACGCCGTCAGGCTTGGAAGCGAAGCAAATCAGAGGCTAAAAATGAACCTGGTACTTGCCTGGATGATCTACTGAAACCTTCTCACTGACCGAAATCACTTAAGCAAGATTGTGAGTAAAAGTCAGGTGAAACTGTCAAATGACGGTTCATCTTCCGTTCTTTTGTAAAACATCAGTGGGACTTGAACGTGTACTTCTCCAGGAAGATCGTCTTGAAAGACGAAAAACGATTTCATTTTCCCAAGAGACTGCATTCTAGGAATTTAATAGTGGAGTGAACTGAAGGAACCATCTAAAATTGGTCTCCTATGTGACAAGCAGGTTGAATAGCTGACAAAACTACAATTGATGTCCCAGAAGTCGCGATTTGAACGTTTGCAGATCACTTGTTTGAAATCTCACCGGCAGTGATTCAAGGCGATCTCCGTAAATAACTGGGCACATTTTGCATTCAATGAACTCACATTGAGTGAGGTCAAAAACTTTCAAGATTAGAGTTGTGGGAAAAGTCTGGAAAAATATGTAAAAGGCAGACAGCATGAATCTGTACTAAGGGTTTACAATATCCTATATCTTAAACTGCAGAAAGTTATCCCCCAAAATAACGTACAAACGCGTCCCAGCCTCAAGAAACTCTAAGCAAAAGTTTTGATTGAAGAGACTGCCAGGATAAAAAAACAGGGTATTACATAATCGAATCACCACGATTCCTTCAAGTCCCCATTTCACACGGATGAATGGTCCTGTTTATTTACCTATCAGAAGAAGAGGCGCTTGTCACTTAAAACGCAAGTCAGTAGTACAGAGCGGCACATAGCAAATTCATTCCTCATCCTCACTCATGTCTCATCCGGCACAGTCTATTTTCGGATGTTTCCGTGTTTTCCAAGCGTTCCAGGGCTCGATTCAAGTAGTCATAGCGCAAAGTTATTTCCATATTATGTCCCTTCATCAAATCATTAGTCAAATGTTTTGCTGCGACAGTCAATGAGCTTGTTTAATCAGGATGTTTTTTTGAAAAAGAAGCTAGTATATTCTCGCTGCAACAGATAAAATGGAGCTTGGTTGCGGAGATTGCGATACAGTACATATGTGCCGTTATACCAATATGAACCTAAACATGTATCGATGTATATTGGAATAACTCTGTTTTTTTAAATTAAATTCTGCCTCAAATGAAGACAACATGTACAGTAAGTGAGCTTACATGGACGTTGCATTTAAACTTGTGTGTGAAGCCTGGTGAACAGATTTGAAGAACGATTCGGCCATGGAAATATAAAACTAGCCATCTCTAGTAACTTTGGTCACGTGCAGAATTGAGGACTAACCTTAGCGAATTCGGTTTGATGTGGCTCCTTGAACGATTTTCTTGTCATTATTTTGAACATTTTTTTACCGGGGTTGGTTAAACAGTGAGGGAGAAAGGAACAACTACCTTTCACAATGTGCAGATGGAACTTACAGTCAACAACAGGCCAAGAACTACTCAACCGAGACTTCCGGGAAGCCAGCTTGCACGTTGTTTGGGAATGTATTAGGTAGTTTGTCACTTTCGCTATTGAAATTATAGGTCTCGCTCACACCTGACGTTTTATCTCCGAGCTTGCATATATTGACGTTCTAGGGTTAACTAAATTTGATGTTGTGTCCTCAGTGAAAATGAACCTGAAATCCTCACAGACAGTAGGCAATTCAGGATAGAGTTCGAGGGTAACTAAACAGAGAAAATTATTCAATCTAGCTAATCTTTAATAGCTTTTGGTGTTTTTTCCGCGTTGGAAGGAAGATACTACAGAACAGTTAGTTTATCTTGCAGGAACTGTCGTCATGAAGGAGTTGCAATTTTTTTTTTGCAGGATAGGTATTTTGTTCAGAGCCACACCACTCTCGTTTGAACAGCCGTNTGTTCCTGTTCTGGCGTAATTATTCCGGTGAGTCCACACCAAAGGGAAGCACTGGACTCGAGTTTCGCTCTTATTAGAGCTCATCAGCAGTGCATATCCAATGGCCGCGCCGAGATTTGAACCCCGGACATCTGACAGTTACTGGATCGTCGTTCGATGAGTCGGGCACACCAATCACATCGCACAACTGTGAACACGTTTGCCCGTTCAGAGGTGCAAATTCAGATGCATCCAACGTGTGTTGGTGGAGTAGTGATTGCACGCTCGCGTCACATGTCAGATGTCCGGGGTTCAAATCCCGGCACGGTCATTGGATATGCTCTGCTGATGAGCTCTCATAAGAGCGAAACTCGAGTCCAGTGCTTCCCTTTGGTGTGGACTCACCGGAATAATTACCCCAGAACAGGAGGACGACCATTCAAACGAGAGTGTTGTGACTATGAACAAAATACCTATCCTGCAAAAAAATTGCAACTCCTTCTTTATCACGGCACTTCCTGCAACGACACTTCCTTTACAACGCGAAAAAATCACCAGAAGCTATTAAAGATTAGCTAGCTTGAATGCCTCTTCCTATTTGGTTACCCTCAAACTCTGTCGTGAATTACCCAGAAAAATTCTGCGTCTCAGGGCAGTGCGCCGGCCAAGTTAAGTCAAAAAGTGTACACCGCTATACTGTGATATTGTGACTACCAAGGGATTACGAAGCCTGGAACCACGAATGTGTGTGTGTGTGTGTGTGTGTGTGAATCCGGACACCGTTGGTGAAACCGAAAATTCAATGTGATCATAACTTAATTACAACGCCGACTGTTTTAACTTGGTCAGAGATTGTCAGGTCTCCGGGAACTGATAAAAATATCACTCAGAAATCATCGAGCCATGAGGAGTACCTCTTCGTGAGGTTCTGAAGGTTTGTTTCTTTGGAAAGACCCCGATCGACAAGTGGTCTTCTCCACCAAATTTGTTTCCGTTTGCGTCTTTCTCAGATGGGGGAAGCATGCTTCATAGTTCCTGATTATTTCGCATCTAACGTCGATAAAATTGAAAGGTAGGAATTGGGGTGTTTCAGACACTTATGAGGGGCTTTCTACATTGTAGTCAGTGGTGTGGTGATGACAGGCAAAAAACAGTTAGTAAATGCTTGAATTGGAGTGACAGCTGTTTTGAGATCGATACGGCCAGCAAATAACTCAAAGAATTGTTGAACTACTCGGTTAGATAAGCAACGAGCATCGAAAGTTCTACTGATTAATCTAAACTTATGCGCTACACCTCAACCAAACTTTCCGAGATCTTAGTTACTAAGCAACCCTCGTTGTCTCAGACAGGTTAACTATTTTGTAACCCCGACGAATTATATCCATAGGGAAGATAGTAACTGAATCGTAATTTCAGTGAAAAGTCGCATTTATGTCCGAAACCCAGTTTAGTATCCAAACCCATGACAATGAATGGTTGTTACTTCGCCTGATGTGACTATCAGGTTGGTCCCCACGTGTGGCATGTCAGTATCATGTCTGTCAAACTATTTGTCTCAGAACCAGGATCAGTGACTTTTGTGTGGTCGCATTATTCGCCTCATAATGATTTTACATTTGTCTTGAGGTAATTCTGAGCACAAAACCACACGTCAGACGTTTTTGTCGGTTGCGCTGGTGAATGAGCATTCAGTTCAGCTCCGGAATCCTTATTCCCGACAAAAAGTAACCTTACAACTGTAGTTTACTTGAGCTCAACAGATGTGTAATTTGCTGATTCTATGAACACAACTAAAAGGAGTATTTTGGGTAGTCAAAACAGATGGAAGTTGAAAACAAAGATCTTTCAGGCTCATCTTGAAAAGTTTTTGAAATAAGTCACCTCTGGTTTGGTAAGTCTTTTGGTTGAGATGTTACGGAGATTGGTTGAGAAGTCGCGAAATAAGCACACAATGATGGTCGCCATAAATCCGTGGTGGCTTCTCATCATCAGGTCAGATGAAACGTCGATTGACAGTATAAGGTCGAGACCAAGTAGTGGGAGGGGAGTTCGTACGGGAAGAGTCTACGGATAGATAATCAAGCCGTAGATGTGAATTGTCGTGAATTTTTTTGCTCTGAAATGACTCGACACTACCAGTCCCCAATGGCAGTATCCAAAATCAAGGCAGACGAGAAAGACATTTTGTTAGGTAGCTAGGAGAGTCCAAACTAACTGTTTTATAACATTTGCTATAGCACGATCCGAATTCATAAATTAACGTGGTTGTTACTTGTACAAACCGTCTAGATGTGGCCCAGCTTACCGCATTGGGAACATCAAATTTGGAGCTCCGAAACGTGTTTTGGCAGCAAGAATGTAGTTTACAGCTAGAAGTATACTTTTCAAGGACTTGATTGCTATTCCTGGCTGATGATTGTTCACATTCTTGTCTTACTACTGTGCTTATCACTATGTGTATTAAGAACCACTGAGTTTTCTCCACGAACTTCAGGTGCTTTGGATACAATAGTTGAAGGAATATCTGGAAATTTCTGACGATAAACGTCAGCCAATCAAATAACACCGACATTAAGCGGGAGGATTCCGCGTTTTGGAGATGGATGTCTAGTGCCAACAATGAGTCCATCTGACCATCGATCGCAGTTTGTTTCTGCGGTCGTAGAATTGATTCCCATACGTACCAGGGAGTGGAATTCAGCAATTTCAGCCACATTAAAAGCTGTTGTGAAATCAAATCAGTCAAATTAAAGTTTCGTGTGTTCCACAACGAACGGAAAATAAATGGCAAACTTCTTTTCCGATAGAACTAGGAAATGTAGCTTGCTTCTCATCAGAAAGATCCCTCTGCCTTATATATCTTATTTAAGTTTAGTTTAAGTTTATCGTGAACGTCTCCAACAAAGGAATCTAAGTCGAATACCTCAAGACTTCTCGCAACTCCCTCGAGATCGGATGTAATATTCAGGAGGAGTTGTAGACAATCCCATCTTTGCTTGCTTCTCATCAGAAAGATCCCTCTGCCTTATATATCTTATTTAAGTTTAGTTTAAGTTTATCGTGAACGTCTCCAACAAAGGAATCTAAGTCGAATACCTCAAGACTTCTCGCAACTCCCTCGAGATCGGATGTAATATTCAGGAGGAGTTGTAGACAAATATGTTCCATCTTTGTTGAATTAAGATTAAATGTCGTACAGGGTCTTGTGGGCCTGCTAGATCAAATCTAAATACTTCATACGAAGCACAAACGTTCAGTTATCCACAATCACTGCAGCACTTTGTAGTTTTTTTTAATGAATGATGTACATGAATGAGAACAACTCACTGTCGGAGATGTCTTCGCGACGAATGAGCAAACAGACAATAACGAGAATGAAAGACTAAAATCCTTTGAGTAAGGTTCCACAGATCGATTTTTAACGCAGTTCGCAGACTCGCCGTTTTCTTAAAAGAAGGCTGACAGAAGCTAAGATTGCCAGGTCACAATGGACTGCAATAAGTCGGACTGATTGGCTAACTTGGAAGTGGACTTAAGAGATCCTCTGTGTCTTCAGTTATCTGCAAAAGTACACATGAACGTACGTATCAAGAACGCACATGGCAATGACCGTGTCGTGCCCAAATGAGCCAAAACGATCAGAAAACAACCAGCGTAATTTTTTGAATAAGCCTGATGCGATCAACTTAGATGCCTCATCCAATTTGAGAACCCACGTCTTTTTCTCGTTCACATGTGCCTTTTCCAGTCTTTCTTCAGGTTGATTCGTCTCCATGATTCACTGAATTACTGGAGGATGTTCAAGTGCCCGAATTATGTCTTGTGGGCCTTGTTCGGGGCTCTCATTTTTGCCTGTCACTGAGTAGGAAAACGGATTAAAGCCTACACAAAACCTACGTTCTGGCAAGCAATGCTCAAGTTTGTGGATAGCACATCCATACCACAGTTCTGCTAGGTGTACCGGAGTGCGGGAGTGAACGGGCGCGGTAGCTCACTTCTTCGTTTCACGGATTTGGCTTTGTTGCACACGGATTCTGGTGAATCTAACGCATCTTGGACAGACTTTGTCCATCGCTGGTAAGAGTTGCGACTGAGCACTTCAGTTTCTTGAGAATTTAACGCATCTTGACCAGACTTGGTCCACCGTTGGTAAGAGTTGCGGCTGAGCACCTCAGTTTCTTTAGGGAAGAGAGTAATGACATCCATAGTACTGAGACCTTTTGTGCCAATTTGTACAGATACTAGAATGGATGGAAGCTGTCCATAGTGAGGGCATTGTGTGTGCAGAATGGTCAACCGGTCCAGTTAGAGCCCACGTCATGGGGCTCAGTTGTTTGCTTGATTGTACTGACCAAGTGATGTTGGCCATACAGGTGTGTTCAATTACATTCCTAGCATTTTCTGTTTCTGGTCCAAGTGACAGACGGCAATCCACCTTCATTTGTCGAGTTCGCTTGGAGTAACAAAACCACCGTCTGTTTCCACTCCCCAGCCTCATTACCTGGATTTATATCACAGTATGGTGCGTTCATATAGATTCACACAGAGCTCAGTATGATCTACCTTTGTTGTGTCTTGCCGTTTGCGAGATATCTGGCTTCGGAGCTCAATATCCAACACGACATTGACTTACATTTTCCAAGCGCTGGGTTCTTCTGCACGCGTTACCTCAAGACTCACAGACAAGGTTTTCATACCTTACAAAGTTGACTCGCTGACTGACAGGAATGGCAACTGTCAGGTGCCACTAATTTGGGTCATTGAATAAAGGGAATTTGATAGTCACAACGGTCCAACTCACGCTTTGTTCCGACGGAAATCGTGTAATTTGTGTTAACATGGAACATGAGGTTGATATGCCCTAAAAAGGGTGAAACTAGTTAGGGGGTGCCATAGAGATTTCACGAAACTTATGAGTAGTGTTCCCGTAAACGAGGGATTCAGCTGGAATTCAGATGAGTCCCCCCTTAAAACCAGGTTTTTCTGAAGACAAATGTTTTTTCAGATGTTAATTTACTTTGATCAAAGTTACTTCAGATGATCAGGGGTAACTCAACTTGAATCGGTTAGCTGACTTTGTTGACTACATACATTGGACATCCTTGTCAAGCAATTCGACTGCAATAAAACGTAGTTGAGGGGTACTAATGAAGGCATTAGATATCTCAACAAAATATACAATATTTTTGCTTTGAGTGTTTTTGATCCACTTCTAACTGAAAGGGAGCTTTTGATAGGACCATCGGTCTTCGTGTGGTGCGAGCTCCCAGACTCGAATCTAATCGGTTGATAAATAGGCACCGTTTCCCATCTAGTCCAACAACTTCCGTGGCCTTTCCTGTCTTTTTAAAATTACACAACACTAAGTAGGATTCGAACTTCCTATGAGGCCGAAGAATCATTTTCAGAAATAAATTTGCGTTATATTATAAACTGAAGTTAGCATTACTTTTTAAGAACAAATCCGAAGATGAAAAATCCCAACCATCTTTCATAATACACGAAATAAAGATATATTTTGGGTCTACACTGATGAATTGTATGACCGCGTTTTTCTGCGTCTTATTCAGAAGACAAGAAATTCAATCTTTGCCCGCCATTTTGAGGAAAATCGAATGGGTGCACCCCAAATGTAATCAATCATCTTTGCTTCACTGTGTGTCGCATCTTGATACGGCTGTCACTGCGCAGATATGCGGTTGTCTTTTGAGTCTTACAATCAATAATTTAACTGAATGCGAATGAGGGGAAAAATAATGTTCGGTTTCATTTTGTCATCCTTTGCAGTCGATATTCGCGCTTGATTTACCCAGCGATATTGTCGTTTGAATTACGCACAACCACCTTGTGGCTTCCTTTTGAAAAATCAATACCTGTGTTTCTTCCAGTCGTAAGTTTGCAAATGAATGAAGATAGGGGACAACTGCCTTTGTGGGGAAACGTGGATGACTGAGGTTGCATGTGTTTCAGTTGATTCTGTCAATCAGCGACTCAGAAATGCAACAGCGAGACAGTTTTTACAGTTTATAAGTGTAACGGGAACTCAGTTGCTTCCTTTTTGGTGACACTCCACCCTACTTGAATTGGCAACTTTGTTCTTGTTTCTGGATATGCTTGATAGTGGTTTTACAGCAGAAGTAGAAAATAAAATTTTAGATTAAATGCTGGATTTCATATACAATAAATTTAAAAAAATCCTTAATTGTTTGAGAAAGTTTGGCGATCTTCAGTCCAAACTTTGTCCTAAAATTGAAATCGATCTACACCGAAAGACCGATCAGTACTGCAGAGCTGTTTCATCTTTGTTGGGAATAACCACCCTCGCACAACTCGAGAAACTTCAAGGAGTCTCGAACCCGTGACCTCCCATTTAGTAGCCTGAACATTCAGCCGTTTGACCATGAGTAGCTGAACACCAGTGTGAACCGCATTCAGTCGGCATATTGCGTCCTTCGTACCCCGCTGATCAACTGCTCGCTGCAGAAAGGTTGTTTTTACCACCTGACCGGAAGGTCACGGGTTCAAAACCCCTCTGTGTTCACTGTTTTTAATAAGGATGAAACACCTATCGCTGGACGTTTGGCACAGATTGACTTCACTCACAGAACGAAATGCCGATAGAAATTCGGGGATTGTTGGACATGTTTACTTACTCTGCATGAAAAACATTGCAAGGACTGACGTTACAGCGATATGTGCAAATAGTACAGTCTTGTTCTCGCCTGAACTTGGTTTGAAGAATCCATTTCAGGACGCCAGAGAAACCAAGATGTTCATAACAAAAACATGGCGTCATGAGTTTTACGGCGTAGTCATCACCGAGAGGGCTGACTTAGTTTAACTAGACTTGTCGAAAGTGTTCCATTCAGGCACGTGAACATATGTGGAAGGATACACCGATATTATATCCGCTGTTGGTTGGGAAAAAACTAACTGAGAGGCTGACGTTCCAAATTATTATTTTATAAACGTAGCCGCGGTACTCATCAGTGCAATCCATTATTTGAAGCTATCCAATCGTGTTCGCTGACATACTAAACAAAGATTCCTTTTGCGTTCACAGTCACTTTGTGGAGGAAAAACATATTAGGATGGGGGAACAGATGAAAACAGATGGTTGTAAAAGTGAACTTGGGGAATCGCCGACAGGGCTACGAAAATAATTTCACTTGTCAGTCGCTAGCAAATACTATAGTTGTTCAACCGGAATCTTAATAACAAACTAAAAAGCAATACTATTCATTCCAAGTGAGCGTGTCACTCCTAACTCTTGAAGTAATCTTCAGTAATCTGAGCAAAGGTAAAGAAATCGACCAACGGTCAAAGATTGAAACGGCGCTGGACAAACTTCTGGCAGGTAGACCCAAAGATGTTTCAGAGAATATAAGACCGCTGGAATCCGGCTTCAGATGGGTCAAATTACTTATCGGGTTCGAACCCAACTCCGGTATCTCGACGGCTTCTGTTTGGACTTAGGCAACACTGCAGCTACCATGCCCCCGTCAGGTGGTGTGTCAAGTGGGCACAGAAAGTGCCATTGCTGAATGGTTAGTATTGCTGTTATTAGTATCATCATTATCTTTATTATTAAATGAAATCAGCTGAAAGGAGATGATCTTATCTCACCTCCGTGTTGCTCTGTTCATTGGCATCAGGAAGGTCAGATTCCTGGAAGCAACCTCAGAACGCCCGGAGCCTACTGCTCCACCGAAAACTCAACAGGAAAGCCGGCGAGCATCCAGGCCAGTCAATCATTCAATCAATTCAGCAAAATCTGATGAGTGTTCTTGCACGCTACAGAACCACGACCGAATGTGATCAGCGTTCAGGCTTTTCATAGATGCACGATCGATATTGATGGGTGTTCACTAGCGCCTATCAAACAGCCTGGATCAATGTCAGAAAGTCTCCTTTAAATAGCGTGGAGCCATTGTAATTTTTGCTCTCGCACTCGTCGGTTCGGAATATGCCGGTTGTGTTCCCTTCTGTGAGTCTTTTTTCTCCGGCATTAGGCACTGGAGCGGGTCAGTAGCAGATACCACAGATTGACGAATCAGCAGATATAACAATTGGCAATAGTTTCATCTTGTTATCCGGTGAACTGTTTAATGATCCAGTTTTCGTTTAAGTCACTTATCAGAGTAGCACCGCTGGACCATGTTGTCCTTTGTGATTAAGAATCCTGTCAAAACGATCGTTTGTTTGAAAAAACCACGTGAGTGCGCATGACAAAACATGGTATAGTTTGCTCTGCGTTCTGAACTACGAATACATGTCTTATAGGTCAGAAATGCTTCTTTTCTCGGAAGCGATTTCAATGGAGTTGGAGTCCAGGAATGGGTGAAATGGTCCAGGAAGTAAGGAATGCCTTGCCCTTGGTGTGACTCATCTACACTGTATGTTACTGACATCACGGTGCTGAGATTGAAAGAGTCATATGGGAAAGTCTATCCATTCGAGTTCATTGGCTATCCGATGCAAGTTTAGGTTCACATTAATTGTACACTGACTTCAAGTGGTCCATAAGCAAGAGAAATGGTAAGCAACCATTTTACTCCATTTTAGACCAATAACTGATACACCAGGTTGAATAGCAGGTTGCTGGCCACTCCCGCCGCCGGACTGGAATTCTCTGTAAATTGAGTGATCTGGAAATATCCTTGAGGTAGCAAGGAAGTATCTTTCTACATCGGACCTCAATCTGCAAGGCAGCACAAGAAGCGTCGAGAGCAGGAGGGAAGCATTATTGTAGCCACTGGATTCCCAGAGTGACCTCATCTGTCATCCGAAACTGTCCCTGTTTCTGCCACTGCTAGTTTGGAATCAGAGTTTAGCCAGCCTTTCCAAACGGACAACCAGTGAACCATTGACCAAGCTCTAGAGTGCGATACCTGTTCCTGTCATTCCACTTTAGTGAAAACAACTCCTCCAATAGGTGGTTGGTAGGATTTATGCATCAGAGACCATTTTAGCTGACTAAGAGCAAAGGATGACTGGTAACATTTCCAGGACCCCTGGCACATCCCGTATCGTTTGTAACTGGTTGTTCACAACGACGGAAAGCTGAACAATTTCTTGGATAATGTGGCCAACATTCAAAATGGTGTACAATGGGACGCTTTTCATAAGAGCATGCGTGATTACCAGAATCGCCCAGTCCCTCTTTCTAACTCTGTTGAGAAATTTTTCATAGATATGGCCAGATTCACTATTATTAGGGATCTAAAAGTCTTTGAATGCGTTTAATCGTGATCCGAATGTTGTACATCCTGATGAAGCAATCAACCAAGTTCAGCCATTCTCATTTGTCCAGTCTCTGTGCCCTTTTGGCTTCTATCGGCTGTCTCATTCCGGTGTTCAACGACAAATTTTCCCAATATTGGTAGAGTGGTGAGAGGCGGGTACATTTGTGCGTATTCCAACTTTCACATAATCCCTCAAGTATTACGGATCGCAGTGAAAACAGGGGATTCAACCGTACATACGTGACGAGACATATACCTTAAAGCGGGTCGTCATGGTTACTAGTGTTAAAAGTACTATATTACGTCCAACTTCACATCACTCTTGTTTGAACAGTCGTCCTCCTGTCCTGGCGCAATTATCCTCCACACTAAAGGAGGGGGAAACACTGAACTCGAGTTTCGCTCTCGTTAGAACTCATCAGCAGTGCATATCCAATGGCGGTGCTGCATCTGTGGCGCTACCTGACTTGGGAGACCTGATAAGCGGGCCAATCGATCATCACAACCAGAACAGATATTGGGGGTGTCCAATGTCCGCACAATGCTCTCAGCTGCAAGACCTTTACAAGTGGAGTGAAACCTTCTAAGCCCAAATCTTGCATTTTGTTGCGTATGTTCTCGACATAAAAACCGTCCTAATCTACATATTTTTTTAGCTCACCAGTTTCATTGTTCACTAAAGCAATCATGCCTCTGACTAAAAAGTTTTGTGTGATAATTTCCCAGCACCGCTGAGACCCCAGGATGGCTAAATCGGGATTAAAGTTTTGGAATCGTACTCTCAGCTCAATTGCCCGATTGCTTCAGTCCATCAGGGACACATCATAACCTTCAAAAATTCAGTTCCATTGTGCGAATACTGAGCCTCGTTATTGGGCCGTCGTATCAGTGATGATGTGTCGGTCATACCGATCACACGTTCGCCTCGCATGTCAGATGTCCGGGGTTCAAATTCCGGCACGGCCATTGGATATGCACTGCTGATGAGTCCTAACAAGAGCGAAACTCGAGTCCGGGACTATCCCCACCTTTGGTGTGGATTCACCAAAATAATTTTGCCAGAACAGGGAGACGATCGCTCAAACTAGAATGATGTGAATCTGAACAATACACCTCCCGCAAACCCCCACATACTATATTATTATCGAGGTTAAAGTTGTTCAGGTGAAGCGGTTGGTATATTTCTGCTACAGTCTTACAAAAAAAAATTGTAACATCTCGAGGTCTGCACATTATATCCTGTCCTACTTCGAATTATTCACATCATAACGAGAAGACAGATGGGGATATTTTACTGGTTGCTTTCAATCGTAACAGTCGCAAACTAAAATCAATCAAAACTTGCATTTTAATTTAACCCATACTGATGAACGAAACCAAAGGCAGGAAGTTTCTTCCAACCCAAAGTCAAGTTGATTTTACGTTTGCGCAGAAGCTGGGTTGCTGCTCATCAATCATCATTGACTCATCGGACGCTATCAGTTTCTAGTTAGTGTTGCAGCGCAAGAATCAAAAGTACTTTTTGGCCGACTGTTTAGCTAAGCCTGTCGATCGATGAGTCGGGTTTTTGGGCGTGTGTTTGTACTCCATTCAGTGAACTGTCTGAGATAGTGAGATGCATGTACCGAGGGGCATTCCGATCTGTATTACCAGCGGCATTTTCACAGCAGTTGCGAGGAAGCTGAAACAGAGTTACCAGACGAATACCCCGTTCGAGCGCTCAAACAAGCCATCGTGACCGATAACTAACAGCCAAACTCGTGTGAGCACGTTTAGCAGCTACGTCTTGGGATGACGACGGGTCGTGACGGTTTTTTGTATCGATCCATTGCATCAGTCGATTTGTGTTAGTTGAATTAAAAATGACCGTTTTCGTGTTACAACTGATGAAGTGAAAAAGTGTTAGCAAAACGTCTTCCTTACTACGTTAATTCGGTAGATTAAATAAACCATTTTCAACTGAAATTTCGTCCTCCAAGTGAAATCAATCTATGGTAAAAAGCCTACTAGCTATTTCTCGGCCCTTCATCATAGACTGGCATCACTTACAGGATAGAAACCCAACTGAAAACGACCTAATCTCCTCACACTACGATCACTCTATAGGCAAATCAGAGGAAGAGTAATGTCACATGCCACATCTGAGTAGTCCTCACTCATGGGGTTCGTCAATACGTGACCACGTGATGTGGTGAAGAATGAGTGGAGCCATATCACGTCCGCGTGTGAGTTAATCACACTGCTGATCAGCCACTGGTGGCGGGGGGATGTAGGCTTCAGTTTTACCACTAGAGTTTCGTGGGATGTGCACCGCTGATGATTCCCAATAAGGATGAAACAGCTGTACAGTGCTTCTTGGCTTTTCAGTGCAGACTGGCTTCATTTGCAAGACGAAAACTCAATTGGAACTGATCAAATCTACTCGCGTTACCAATAAATGTACTGTTAAGCTTACATTAACCACACCGGGCACTAATGAAAGTGCGATATTTAGTGCGCTGCACGTGTAGAATACTTTTTTCACCCAGAATTGGCTAGCTAATCTGTAAATATGAACCAGTGCTAGTGGTGCATTTGAGTCAGCTTCGATTCATGTGCCAATGCAAAAAAAAGCTTCACTCATAAATTAAGGTAAAACTGATGGAGGCATGGAAACCCAAGTCACGGATTCGGAATAAGCAGTGGTGAAATTAAGGAGGCACTTAAACCTGGATGCACTCCAGGTGGGTATGAGGCAATCATTTGGCCCCACAGAAAAACAGTGCTACTACAAGCCGTTTGTGTTTATCACAATGAATGCTTAATGGTGCGCAATTTATCGGTGCCCAAAAAACCTGATCAGGTGTAACCGACTTTTTTTAGGTAGTGGTGGGGTTTGTGGAATCCGCGCTCATATCGTTTTCGTTCGGTTAGCACTGCTGTAGTCCTGGGGTAACTATTCTAGCCAATCAACATCAGGAGGTAGTAAGCTCTGAACTGGCGTTTAGGTCCTACTAGAGGTCATTAGCAGTGCATCTTCTTGGTCCTGCCAGAGTTTAATCTCCGGATATGAGAAATGCGAGACAAATGTGTTGCCACTACTCTATGCTGGACATATCTGTATAATCGCATCTGAACAGGCGATGGCATTCACGCTTCGTCAAGGTGATTGGTTCGCTTTGCAGTTCTACCTCTCAGGCTGAATCCACTATTAGTCTTTGGTTCGTTCGCTGAAGTGAGTAATGTGGATGCAAACGTTTCATCACCAAACGGGGTGCTCTAATTTGTGCGCTGTTAGGACGCGTAGTGAAACTTAGCGATGCGTCGGTGCTCGTACATTGATCAGTGTCGCGCGTGTGTTAATATATGTGCTGTTAGCCGGGGCTGACCTTCGATCACGACTGGTTTTTCGGTCGGGTAGTTCCATTGGTTAGTCTGTTTTCCTGTGTCCTGATTGGTCGACGACCACGTGAACCCTGAGCTTGACCTTCGCTGTTTGTGCAGTTTGATCGGTGTTGGCGTGACCTCTGCCCCTGATCTCTCTGGATTCTAGTTTATGATCTCTGTTGATCTGACCCCAAGGACTACAATGCAATTTTTATGTTACAAGTATGTTAGGTTACTTGTTTGGCTGGGTCTTGAGGAGACACAATTGATCAAATATCGGCGATTGTAGCGATTCCATTCACAAAAAATTGATGAATCAGGCGCACGCAGACGTAGTTGTCCGCCCTTTATGGAAAATTGAAAGTCCTTGGCACAGATCTAAATTGTTTATCCTGGAGAGACCGTTCTGTTGAAAAAGAGTGACTAGGTCGTGGTTTGGTAAAACCGTTGGTAACGCCAACATAAGGTATTTCATAGTTTACTAGTGCAAAGTAATGTTATATACAGGTGCCTCTTGTCTAGGTATGAGCTTCTCATCTTGGGATTAATCAACTCCGTTAACTGGAAAAGCCAAGCTGTGTCGCTTAGCGACCGTGGGTTGTGCATTAAATGGTAATTTATGAGGCTCCAGCAGGCATCTTATCGATGTTGTCTGGTTTGTTTTTATACGCACTTTTAGTCTAACCTTGGAAATAAAATATCTTCGGCAACTTTCTAAGAAGTCTATCCACACGGCGCTTTAATTAAAGGATCTCAGCTTAAGTTCAGTAACCTTTCGCGGAATACTCAAACCAACATAGCACGCAATCAATTCCGCTGCTTTGGATTGCAATCGATCAATTAGTGATCTCTAATTTAATTAGATCCCTCGAATGCAATTTCCTGCAGTCAACTCATTCATTCTCAAGTTTGCCCGCAATACCGCGATCACCGTAGCCGACGCTTTATGTTTAAGAAGTTGTGTTTTGTACTATGTGTATGTCATAGGTGAGGATATGGCGGCCACTTGTTTTAACCGGTTAAATGAACGTAACTGCCAAAGCGCAGTATACAATATTAGATATTCATGGAGAAACCCAACCCATACGAAACGAAATCCCGGTGGCGTTCTGTTCTCCCCTGCGCCTCATGGACGCAGAAATATTGACGAAAAATGAAACAACTAGCCAAACTAAAGTCTGAATATAAATCAGACAGCCAGGGAATTGCACACAAGAATCGGTGAGCACAAGCGCTCCCTTAACAGACCACCGAGAAACGCAAAGGAATACCAGGCGTTAGTCAGTGATTCAGCAATTGCAGGGCATGCTCTAGACATTGGGCATAGGATAGATTTAGAAAATGTGGATATCCTGAGACGGGGTTTAAGATTCACACCATAGCGACTGGTTGCCGGGGCGGTGGAAATAGCCAAACATCCTAGTGTGAACAGAATAGCGGGGGTAGAACTTGCAAACGTGTGGAGTGCTGTCTTAGATCAGCCGAGATGACACGAGGCGGTGTGCAGTTATCAGCGAAATGGCCTGGGTCTAGAAGTACAAACTTCAAGTAGAGTTAGATCCGATTAACCACCCAACCCCAAACCGATTGTCCCAGCACCCTTGGACGAACACAGGTGAACAAAATATGTGAACGACCCCAAGAGGGGTCTGATCGATACAGACCAGCTGGTTAGTTAATTCTAACGGCCTAGTGCAATCTTTCAAGTGCCTAGTATATTTGCCCTCAGGATATTCGCAAAAGAGTGCTAAAAACCGTTAAAGCCATCGCATTTGTGATCGTTCCCTCTCTGCATAGATAGCCTCCTTGTGAGACAATGATGTGCAATGTTTGAAACTAATTTCCTTTTTTGCCAACGCATCCGCCCACCAACCGGTGACCGAAAACCACCGTTTTAGAGCCTCAGGTATTAGTGACAAGATGTTTAAAAACATTAAAACCTATTGTCTCCTTCGAAGGGATTTCTAGAGAGCCATTTGCGCCACGATAAGAGAAGTAGAACCACAAAGATGTGCCACAAATTTCGTGGAAATCATACTTTACCTCTTGAAGAGTTGAAACGCAACGGTATAAAACGAGTGTGTCTTCGCCGATCCAGCCAGCGTTCCGGATAGAGCATAAGGCAGGTGGATTTAATGGCATGGAGTTTAACTCGGTGAAGTTTGCTCGTGCTCATCCGAAGTTTTTCCATACAGAACGCCCCACCAAGCCATGTTTGGAATTTCAATTCATACGTAGTTGTTTAGTTGAGTGACATTTTGCCAGGAAATCCGAGTAGAGCTTACGTATTCAAGTAGTTTTCTGTTTTAATGATTGACGCGAACTTGAGTGAGCGTTCCACCTTCGAATTCCACATTGACTACTCAGTACAATAGGCAATTTCTATAATGAGTCCACATAGTATGTGGACCTCGTGTAATTCCTCCTCATCATTTGGTACTGGTTGACCAAAATTTGATGTATTTTTACGAAATTTTAGTCACGATAATGGCACGTGATTTTACTCATCTTCACATGTGCACTGCTTGTTGAACCAGATTTCCATAACCAAGTTATCGATCTATCGTCCACACGGATCTTAACGTTCGAAATACCAACTCTCCTTGAAGTTGGTTCGTAAGCCCTCACTATTTCCTCTGGTCAAAGAAACGTTACCTAAAATGTTAGTTTGTGTACTATTAGCGATTTTTTTCTTTTCTCAGTATCAGTATACCTAAATGTC